CATGCACATAACATGCTCTAGTCATTTTCACCCTCCATCTTGTGGCCTCCCCCCTCATTTTATTTTGTTGGGAGGATTTCTGTGCGTGTAATTTATTCTTATGTACCCACTTATAAGCACCCTCGTGCCTCTGCTTGTCCCTTTTACTGTCCTTCTTGTCTAATAAATAGTCTCCTCTCAGCTTTATCATGTTTTTCAGATTCCACGTTATCAGGGAGAAGATGTGTTCTTTTTCTTCCCGAGTCTGGCTTCTTTTGTTCAACCTGACAGTCTTAAGATCCATTTATTCTCCTGCAAATGACAGAGCTGCATTCTTCTTTGTAGCCAAATACAGTGCTCCCCTGGGTACACACACACTGCGTTTGCCTCATCCACCCACCTGCTGATGCGCACGTGGACCGGTTCCGTATCTTGGCTGCAGTGAACCGTGTCACAGAAACAAGGGCTCGCAGGTCTTCCCTTACAGTGTGCAGACTTTCACTGCTTTGGGGACGTAGCAAGGAGTGTACAGCTGGGTCAAGTAGTAGGTCTGCTTTTAGTTTTTGGAGGAATCCATAATGATTTCCATGGATGTACTAATTTAGATTCCTACTAGCAGGGAGGAAGCATTCTTTTTTCCTCCAAATTTTCACCAGCATATATGAATTCTTGATGTAGCCATTCTGACTAGGGTGAGATATAATCTCAGTAGGTTTTAATTTACACCATTATAAGGGCTAAAGATGCTGAAACTTTTTCACGTATATACTGGCTGTATTCATTTTGAGAAGCATCTGTTCAATTCATTTGCCCACTTACTGATCAGGCTCTTCTTATTTTTCAAAAAAATTCCTAATATATTCTACATACTAATCTTCTGTCAGAAGAGTAGTTGGTAAAAATTTTCTCCCATCCGTAGGCTCTGTCTTTATTCTATTTCTTGTTTCTCTTATTGTGCAATAACTCTTTAATTTGATGTAGTTCATTTGTTTATTTATTTATTTTTGTTTGTTTCTTGGTTCTACTGGAGCCCTATTTGGGAAATTTTCCTGTAGCTTTATTTCCCCTCTGCCTTTCTTTCTTTTCTTGTTCTGTTCTGTTCTTCCTTTCTTTGTGACAGGGTTTCATCATGTACCTTAGGCTGGCTTGAACTGAAGGCAATCCTCCTGCTTAAGCCTCCCAAGTGGGAGATACAGACATGTGCCCTTAGGACCTGCCGCCTACGCTATCTTTTAGCAATTTCAAGGTTTCAGGTTTTATGCTTAAGTCTTCCATGACCCATTTTATTATCACACAGGGTGTGAGACAGGGGCTTGATTTCAATCTTCTACAATCTTCAGTTTTCCTAGCATCATTTGTTAAGATGATAACTTTTCTCTAATGAAGTAATTTTTTTAAAAAAAGATCCCTAGATAATTGATATGCTCATTAATGTTTATGAGGCAATGGTTTGAGGAGAAATTCTTAGATTGAGAATTTCTGCATTTTTCAGTCTTTAATTCATGCTTAGATGCTATAAAGTAACAATGTTTTAAAAGATCTTTGGATTTTAGTTTCATTTGAAAATGTATTTGATGTTGCAGTCTCACTGTTTGAAAGTCCCCTCTATATTCTTTAATTTTGTAACTTCAACAACTATTTCTAAGATGACAATATGTAATTAACTAGTGATTTCCTACTGTTTATTTTTTCTGAAATTCTGTATAACTTGTACCCTTTTTCTGTTTTTTTTCTTTTTTCTCCTTAAATAAAATTAAAAAAAAAGAAAATGTATTTTATGGCAGACACCTAGTTTAATTTTTTAAAAAATCAAGTCTGATTATCAAAAGCACTAGCTTGTCAGAGTCTAAGGCAGTATTATCACATGATCAGAGACCAAAATGCAAATATACACAAACCCCTTCAGAAAGCAGTTTCCATAACCTGTTATCACCACTGTAAGCAGAACATGCACAAAACATCTACAAATAAGACAGAAAGCAACAAAAATGGATAAAGGGTATACATCACTGACAAATACAAATCCCCTGCAAACATGGAAAGATTCTCAAATTCCATAGAAATAAATGGAAATGCACGTAAGGCAGACAGAAACTATTTTAAAGGCGTGGGGCTGGGTGTGGTGGTACATGCCTGTAATCCCAGCACAGGGAGTCTGAGGCAGGAGGATCACTGTGAATTTGAGGCTAGCCTGGGCTACAAAGTGAGCTCAAGGCCAGCCTGAAGTGCATAGTGAAACCCTGTCTCAAAAACACAAAGAAGTAAAAACAAATAAAATAAAAAAGGAGTGGGGGTGAAACTCAGTGGTAGATTCTGTGGTTGGCATGCAGAAAGCCCCAGTTCAATCTCGGGTACCAAAAACCAAGACAAAAAACGTAAAGACTGGGACCATCCACTAGTAGAAGGCTAAGAGCAAAGGGGTATTTCTGGGCACTTCCAATGAAAGTTTAAATTTTTACAATGTTTTTAGGAAATAATAGTTAATAATCCAGTATCTTTATTTACAGACATCTTCTTACTGAGGCCTCCCTCCAGTACGTATAGGGCAGCACAATGCAACACGGTTTATGGGGGAAATCTGAGCACTGCAGGGAAAGGCTGGGGGAGGAACTTAGCCAACATGAGGTGTGGCTCAGTAAATCATGGTGCACCTATAAAACACCTAGGAAGCAATTTAAAAGTGACAGTCTGTCATCAACTCTAAGATACTGCAGGTTGTATAATGTACCCTCATATAACAGCCCTTAAAATGTGACAGAAAAGTGACTATCGTCACGGCAGTTACCATCGATTATCAAGGGACTCCACTCTTGGAGATGTTGAGATTCAAGACAACAATCAAGTGTGATTTACATCAGCGATACTGATTCCAGTTTTAAACACTGATTTACAATATTTAAATGTTTACTGTGTAGGAAAAAAATCAAGCTGTTTGAAAGTGTGCATCTTTAAGGAGCACAGTTCTACTATGCTGGAGCAGGTGGCATGGGGCACAATATCTGAGACTATTCTAATTCTTTCAAAATATATATTCATTTTGAAAAAACTAAGCAGTGAAAATGCTGCATAAGTAAAACAAGAATCAAAATATTCGGTGGAGCCATCTCTAACTGGAGTTCTCTAACTGGACTTACACATTTTTTTCCCTCCAGTACAGGGACTGAACGGAGGGTCTTTGCACTGAGCTGTATCCTCTCCCCTTTTTCTATTTTGAGGCAGGCTCTCACTAAATTGTCGAGGCTTTCTTCAATTTGTGACCCTCCTGCCTCAGCCTCCCACAGTGCTAGGATTACAGGTGTGTGCTGTAACAACTAACTGCACTCATTTCCTTACTGATTTCACTGTTTTCTCCCTGTAGCATTTTCCTCCAGGGCCCAAGTCAACAGTAAGGCTGGTGCTAATAACCTGCTCTTTATATACCCACAACAATCCAGTACGATAGGGATACATGTGCCCATCCACACATGAGCAACACAGATGGAGCTGTTTTCCCTGGTGCCACAGTGGCTGTGGACCATGCTTGTTTGTTTTGCTTGCCTCTGCTCTCTCTTCCTTCCATGTTCTTGATTTTTTTGATATTTTCAACTGAGCGAACATTATCTCTAGTCTTTTACTTTCTCCTCCATTAATTCCTTCCTGTCTTCTTCTCCAGGTTCCCAAAACTTATGTGCTCATCCTTTGTTCTCCAGCCTTTTGTCCTCTAGCCCTCTATCTCCCCCAACAGAGTAAAATTGCTTGACTAAGGGGAAACTTACTGCATACAAGTTCCTGGTTTCTGAAGGATTTTATAACTGTAAATTTGTTCCTATGGTTTAAAACCTTAAACACAGTTTGTTCATTTCTAGGTTGTGCTTGATGCTACTATTATTGCTTATTCCATTACTTAGCCAGGGTGTCATACCTGTTGTAATCAGTTGTTCTCTCTTGTATGCCAACACTGTGGTTGTGGTGATGGGGTCATAACCATCACCACAGTCCAGTACTAAAGGACTGGGTGCTGAGCCAGGTAGACAGCAACTACACAGCCCAAAATTGGAAGGAAGGACTTTGGAACAGACACACAGACCAAGAGCCAGCTACACAGAGAAGACATCTCTGAGGAATAGACATTTCCTAGGGAAGCCTTGATACAAGTGATTACGCTATCTACCATAGGCAAGTTACAAACATCAACACAGAAAACAAATTAAAATTTAAAAGAATAGAAAATGACAAGACATAGAAGCAAAGTGCAATCCCATCTCCAACCCACTCAGGATAAGTGCAGGGGACAATGAGACAGAGGAAATCAGAAGCTACCCACCAGAACTTGCTGAAAAATAACTGCAGAAGTAAAAACCAGGTGAATGAGGCCATAGAGAATATCAGATTATAAATAATCTCTTGGATAAAAAAAGAGATGATTAAGATAAAGGATCTGCCTAGAGTAGACACAGATAATAAAATAGAGGAGCTTAGAAAACTGATGGAAACCATTAATGCCCAACACTGGAAAACAAATGGAATCCATGAAACAGATTCCAACAGATAACCAGGAGATTAAAAATTCCACTGACAGAGCACCAGCCCTAAAAGAGAGGATTGTGGTTCGCGAACACGAAAAGAAAGATTTCTCCAATAGAGACAGACATAAAAATCTGGACTTTGACCTACAATGATTTTCTATGGCCTAGTATTTTTTACTCTATTCAGAAATTTTTAGGAATATTTTTAAAAATGAAGTATCTGGAAATATAAACTCTAAAGACCTATGCCACTGATGGCTGAGTTATGTTTCTTCGGGTCATTAATCATTCTTTGGGGAAATAGAATGATGGTTTCAAAAATTAATAACAGGGTCTGGCTTGGAGGCAGACCAGAAACCATATGTTTATACAATCCTGATCGTCTCCTCTCCACCCTCCATATACCCACACCTGTAATAAAATAAGATATAAGAAGTAAAGATATTTATGAAATGTCAGGCTCTAAAACAATTTGTCCCACTGGCCTTCTGCAGAAGAAATTAGATGCCGGCTCACCTGAGTCCTTCATGGGGCAGAGGGCACACTGCATGCCCCAGGCCTCTCCGTACAAACAGCAGCACTCGGTATATGTGGTCTGCTTGCCCACAAGAGGACGGCTACACACGTATTCTTCACTCAGATGCTCCCAGCACAGATCTTGGTAGACGTCAGTTTCTTCTATTTGTTCTAAAAGAAAGACACAGTTCCATGACAATCGCATTGCTATTTTGCTATTCCTACTTCATCAACATGGTGGTAGAACCCAGTGATGAAAATAGTTTCCATCCATTTCTAAGAGGGACTTCCAAGAACAACTCTGAATGCAGCCTGGTCCTCCCACAGATAAAACCCGTCAGCTTCAGCTGAGCACGCCATTCCATCTGATGGAATTCAACCAGCCCATCGTGTTCCAGCCATACTCTTCCCGCAAGGTTTCCCAGCATTACTTAGAAGGCCCCACTAGCTTTTCTGTCCTTCTAATTCTTACCTTCACTTTTCATCTTTACTTCTCTGTCAGATCCTACCTTTGCTTTTTATATAGCATTGTTTGATTCATCTTTCTTTCATTTGCCAAAGCCCAAGACTGGTGACACTGCATTCTAGAATTCTCAGTTCTATTCTAACCTTTGCACTTTTGAATGGACCTCACCCAGAGTGATCTCCTCAGTGGAATGACTGGTTATACCAATGTCAAAGTCATGCCAGTCATCGAGGTGAACAGGGATCTCTCCATGGACTTCAGGGCTGTGTACCTTGCTTAACTGCACCTTATGTTCTGTCCAGCCTCATCTATCCCTTGCACACCAGGTGAAGGACACCTCAGTCTCCTCCTTTGAACTTGGACCTTCCTCAGATGCCTCTGAAGGTCAAGTGTGATGAGCCCTCAGGCACAGAGCAGCTCTGCCATCTGCCCTGCCTCACTGTCTATTTCATGAGTACATTTCTGGATATTAAATCTACATCTTGATCACATGCATCATATTATTTCTCTTAGTATCTTATTTCAATATACCCAAGGAACTCTTTCCTACTTTTCAGTTGTTCACATTTTAGTCAACAGGAAAGCCTTATGACATTTATATTTACTGGGACATACGTTTGCATCTTCTATCCAAACATACCATTTGACTCAGTTGGCTGTATGCATCTTTTTTCTGATGCATCCAGGACCATTGGGTGGGTACAGAAGCAGTTGTAAGAGCCTTCCGTATTAACACACTGGCCATCAATACAACTACTGGGGTCTTGACATTCATCCATATCTTCAAAGAAAAAAATGATTAAAGAAATTCAGCAATTAGTTGTACCTCCTACTCTTAGCAAAGTTAACACATTCCAGGTGCTGCCACATTTTAATGAATTCTACATCATCCAAAAGAGAACAGTGCTGACTCTTAGAAAATGTCAGTTGTGATCCCCAGTACCAAAAAAAAAAAAAAAAAAAAAAAAGTCTCTAATTGGAAAAACAACACTTCTACTGCTATCACTGCTATTAAATATGGAAAGAAAACACCTATGAACAGGATACACTTAGAAAATTTAAGATAAAATGCTTTTTTATGATGCTTTTAAAATTACTTCCTTTCCTGCCTAGTGTATATGGTTTTCTGCTTAAGTATTAAAGTCTGGCAGTATTGAAAAATGACTTTGACTTGTATGATATGAGTGATGAAACAGAAGGTTCCACACACCCATAGAACTCTTCAGTTATACCAACGACCTGAATTACAATTCCACATTGAATATTAACTCACTGTTTGAAATCCACTCAAATAGGAGGAGGGGAACTTTTTCTAAAACATTGCTCAAGAAAGATACCCATAAAACATTCACATAACTCTTCAGCACCCAATTTAAAGACATTTTTTTTATAGCATTACTTATTTTTTTCCATCTGTGTATTTTCATAGCACACCATTCTAGATCCTCTCGAAACTTACCAAAGCACTGCAGTTTGACAGGATCATAGTATGTCCCTTGCTTACAGTAGCATTCATAACCAGGCTGAGTGTTCAAACAGAAACCATTTTTGCAAATTTCTTGTCCAAAAAGTAGGCATTCGTCAGCATCTATAGGGGGAAAGATTGAGAAAATACACAGAGGAGACAGTTTTGATCTTCCTGTTAAGAACAGGAAGCGAATTAATATTGAGCTTCAAGTTAACTCTTAACAGACACAGCAATATAGCGTTCTTAAAATTAGCCCTAAATGACAGATGGAGAAACACAGTCAGACGTGGTTTGTCTGTGGAGCAACAGTTCCAACATTATCAGAAAAGGTGTATTTGTAAAGATGATTGTTTGGCTTTGTAGCTAGGCCCTTCCAAAGCCTCATGCGCTCATAGGTGGGGCATTCTGGAGCAGGCCTTGTGATACTGGGATTACAGGTGTATGGCACTAAATTAGTCCACTGAATGGAATTAGCATAGTTCTGGGTGGCATCACTCAGAAAGACTGGTAGCCTGGATCAGGTAAAAGGGAAAGGCAGGCTGGCTGTCTCTTGCCTGCCATGCTGCTTTGCCTTGGAACCAGTTGCCTACAGACTGAAACCTCTGCAAACTGTGAGCTGAAATCCTATAAACCTTTCTTCCTTTTTGTCTTATCAAGGAGAAAAGTAACTAAGACAATGGTTTTCTTTTTCTCTTCCTCCTCTTCTATCATCATCTTCATCACCTTTTTTTTTTCTTTTTTCTTTCTGAGATAGGGTCTCAAAATGTAGTCCAAGCAAGCCTTGAATTTGCTTTGTATCTCAGACAGGGCTCGAACTCTCAATCTGCCAGCATCAGCATCCCAAATGCAGGAATTACAGGCATATGCTACCACGCGACTACAAAGGTTTCTCAGATGCTACCTACAGTGAACGAAGTGGCACCATAACACAGTAGCACAAAAAACATTCTCTAAATTTGAAGTAATATGCCTTTCTATGAATGTATACCCTGGCTCCTTCACTAGTTGATATGTACAGGGATGCCAGTAAGAGTCTGAGAGAACTTGACGAAAGATTTTCTTGCTGATAACAGAGGCTGGTGAAGTCACAACTTCCTATGGAGGTTGGCATGCACATCCCCTCACAGAATGAAGAACGCTATGTCATGGTTTATGTCTGTGTCCCCCAGGCCTCATGAGTTTGCATTGTGCATTTGTGATTGGCTCATTGTTTAGCGCTTGGATTGATGGTGTCAGTGCTTCACCCACATAGGGGTGGAGCCAGGATGTGATGTAATGGCAGGAAGAAGATGTGTCTTGCTCCTTGCTGATTCAAGCTTGCTGTTTGCAGCCGCCATGAAAGGTGGGCCCGCCATGCCCCCCTGCCTGGGAGCCAACTGAGCATGGATTGAAACCTCCAAAAACTGTAAGAAATAAACCTTTCCTTTCCTAACTTGGGCATCAGGTATTTTGTCTCAGCGACGAGTAAAAAGTAACTAAGACAGGGCTGGGGATTTAGCTCAGCGGCATAAACACCTGCCTTGCAAGCAGGCGGTCGAGAGTTCCATCCCAGTACTGATAAAAAAGAAAAATACAAAAAAAAAAAAAAAAAAGTAACTAAGACAGCTTATCACAGTTTACTCCATGATAAACTGGAGATAACAGGAATACCAACCAAATAAGACTTAACAGATTAATAATATAATTCATGTGGAGGACTCAAGACACTCTTTGACACAGGCAGATGATCAAATCTTATTTATTGCTTTTATTAGCATCACTTCTAACTTCTGAAAGTTATCTAGTGCTCAATTTGAAGCTAAGAGACTCACAGAAGACTATTCAAATTCACATGGACAGAAAATGGCAGAGCCATGCACATAGCGCATAGCTGTTTGGACTTGAACCCACTTACGGGGAGAGAAGAGGAATTTACTTTTATATAAAAGAGTGAATTTAGAGTGACATTGTTTTTTCTCCATCATATGAGGTGAAATTTAACTACATTCCTGCAAAAATATACAATGTGATGTCTGTGAATTTGAAAACCATTCAATGCATATTACAAACCAGGTCTTGTTATTTGTTGAACTAAAGCATAGATGTATTTTAAAGACACAAATAGAAACGGTCATTGACAAAGCTAAGGTACTTGCTTTTTTATAACTTAACTACTGTACTTCTAGAAGCTTTTACTAATAGCCACAGATTCATAATGAATAATGAAGAATGGAAAACAAAACTAAAATAGATGTTTTAAATATTTAATGCTGTTACTGTATAGTTCTAACATCAGTGTGCAGCCACTTAATTTTGGTGAATGCATATATGAATATTTCCTCACCACTCACTTTTGACTTTTCCATGCAGAGACTTTTATTCCTCTTCAGTTTAATATTGAGAACTGCTAAGTGGATTGTAAAGAGACTACAAAAATATTTTTCTTGTCCATCCATTTTTTGAAAGCTGGTGTTTAATAAGGAATAACTGAGCAGCTGGATAAGATATCCTACTTGTGGAAATATTCCATGTTTCTTTTGGTTCCACTGAAGGAAGGTCTCTGAGGCCTCAGACAGAGTTGTGGCTTAGATCAAAATATGTAGAGCTGTGTGGCCTTGGCAAGACAGGTCACTTAATCTGAGCTTCTGTGTCTTCATCTCTGAGACAGAATAATGTTTCAGAGGTTACAAGGAGGATGAAGTGAGTTATGTGCACAAAGACAAACATCATGATAATCAAATCTATATAGTCATAGTGTATGTGATTTCTAAGACACCTCTAGCATAACAAAATGACTAAGTATCTATTGAGTATAGATTTTTGTGCTAAGTAGTTGTGCACATTCCTCGCTGCATCCTTGTAACCTGAGGTCACAGAGACCTTCCTTCAGTGGCAGAATTACGAACTTTGTAATCAGTTTGCATGGCTCAACAGAAGTCTAATTCTGAGTAACCCACACCAAGCTTTTACTCAAATGTCTGGCATTTGTTACAGATTCATTTCCATTTGATTCTGACCTTTATAGTTCTCACCACCAATGTCATAGGAGGATCCTCCAGTGGGGACAAAACCTTTCCCTCTAGGACACATTTCTGTGAACTCAGCTGATTTTAGGGGAGACAAAACCAAAAGAGAGATAAGTTGAAAAAGAATTAATGTCTTCCTTGATTGCATATTTTAATTTCAGTTTTGCTTTCTCAGATTCAGCAACTTTTTTTAACAGAATGTCAGGCAAATAAATTCAACACAATAGCCAAAAGTTATGGATTAGATGGAAATATGTCAAATGATGCCATAAGTTTAACTGTATGTTTTTCAAAAACCTTCTTAATTCACTCATGTTTTATTTGATATTATGACTTTTTGTACTGCTGCAGAATCTATTATTTAAAGGGCCCATCAAGCAAAATTTTAGCTTAGATACACAAGCTCTATTTATGGAGAAGGCTATAGCACTGCTATCAAAGAAGATTCATCTTAATTTTAAAATGTAGTAAAATTGAATTTTCTGCCAGAGTATCATACAGAGCTGTTAATGGTGTGCTCTCTGACAGAGAGAGGTTTAAGAATTCAAGTTGATGTGGGCAGAGTGTGATGGCTTCAGCCCTGAATAAAACTGTCAATATCACATAAAGCCAATTACAAAGGACATCATTACAGGGCCTCAGTGTGATAAGCAAACTGAGCCCGTGCACCACTGATGCACACCACATAATTAAACACAAGTGTCACCGTAACACTTGGGTGATACTTACCGGTCCCCAGCACTGGGCAAGGGAAGATCTCACAGTTATCTCCCCAGCCGGCACCTGATGTGCAGCAGCATTCTTGTTTGGTGACATTGGGAGCCAACACATTGTCACAGAGACTGGCATCATTGAGATTATAGTAGCATTCTTTCTTTTCTTCTTTGGGCGGACCTGCATCTAAAACTAAACAGAGTGGAAAAAGTTAGTGTTGAATGGACACCTCTGATCTACCTACAGCACCACAGAGGAGGGGACAGAACGCAAAAAAAGTGACAGGATGGGTCCACGGCATTGCCCTTACAAAGAACTGCATCCCTCTCTCAGTGTCAGATTCTTTCACTTCAAGATAATCGTGAATTTTGGTGGATTTCTAACACACTCAAAGAGTGTAAATCTGTCAAAGCCATTTACTTTTATGTTAACCAATTACTTTATTCTTGTAAATTTGGCTGTGAGCAGTTTCCATATCTGCTCTCTTGCCAAACGTAGGGCCATTCTTTGTGGAGCTGTAACACCTACTTAAATAAATGACAATTTTACTCCAGCACTTGACCAGAGATCTGGGGCCATGTGTAATATTTAATTAACCCTTAAGAGGTTACTTGAATGAATCATGCCCCGTCTTTTCTGAACAACAGAAAGCAGCAGCAGAAAAATACTAGAATAACTTCAAACTTATAAAATAATCTTTCATCACGGAAAACCTAACTACTTAAATTGCTGCAAATATATGACTTCGAATGAAATAATGAGTGTCGGTTAACTCAGTGCAGAATTCAAGTCTGGGTGCTGATTTCAACACGTGTGTGTCAGAGGAAAACATAGTCTAACAGACTCAGTGTCTGTGTGAAAAAAATACAAAGAAAATTGATACAGAAAAATACAAATGATGAGAATAAAACATACCCACTTTTAGATAATACAAATGAGTAAACTGAAACAGATTTGTTGCCTTTGAACAGGTCTTTGATCAGTATTTTCTAGCTAGCCTTAGAAAGTAATTTCCTTTCTACCAAATGTGAGAGTCCAAATTACTGCCCATGATCCAATTAACTTTTATGCTGTATTAAAAAAGAAACTAATGTCATCACAATTTCTCAATTCCTATGAAATGTTTTCATTAGAACGCTATTTCCAGATTCTTACACTCAAAGAAACTATTGGGACAAAAGGAAAACATTACTAGTGAGGATGAAGATAAGACTTTAATCTCAATGCTAAATTACTTTCTTTTGAAGGTAGGTCATTATACTAGGAAAATTTAATGAATTATTTTTACAATGGTTTCCTGTATCTTTCTTTTGGCAGGGCCAAACTGACTATGGAAACTCGATTAAATAGTAAACTCATTTTTAAAAAGTTTATGAAGAAAAAAAATGTTAGAAGAAAAAAACTACTGCCCTTTCTTATGGCATTAGAAACAGGCAAACTGTAAACAAACCTTGTAAGTTTGTATTACTCTCAGGAGATAAGTGTCAATGAGAATATCAAAGATTCCCTCATACATTTTATTGTAGCCCATTCTTTGTCTTTGATAGATTTTTGGCTTGGACTCAAAGTCATTGTTAACAACTGATGACAAATTCAAACTCAGAACAAGTATCTGGGGAAAAAGTAAAATGCTGATTTCTATGCAACAATATATGAAGTGGTTTTAAATCATCTTGTATGCAAAACTGGGTAAAATCAGCCACCTTCCTGATATGATCTAGCTTCCTTCATATGTGCACGGGACAGACATTCACCTGGCCCACTCCAGTCAGTGGAAGGCATCTTTGCCCAGGGGGCAAACCTCAGCTGTGGAATTATTTGGGAAAACGAAGGTTGTTCAAAATTTGTGATTAAATCAATCACACAAAACCTTACAGAAAATTTTACGGACTTCCCCTCAATACTGTAAATAAATTTGAGGACCTATTATGATTAATTCTCTTCAATTATTTTATGCAGTTGCCCTAAAAATGCAGCCAGCTATTAATGGACATGTTCAGAAATATATATCAAGAAAGCAACACAGACGTCTGCAAATGAGGTTTACGTTATGGTCTGTGCTAAAAGAGGATCAATAATTGTTTCCTCATGTACACAGTTGTGAGTGTGTCTGGTATTAATTACAAAATGAAATTCTAGGTGGAAAGGCCTTAGTGAAGACTGCTCTTTTCATAGGTAATCAGCAGCCACAGCATCTTTCTAAATCAAAATATGGCAAAATTATATACACATGTGCACACATAAATATTTTATGTATGTAAATATTGCTTTATTTCCTATGATGTTTGCTATAATCACATTACAGAAATTAAGAAAATCGTCTTTGTTTTTCTGCCTTTTCTTTGGAAGAAAACACCTATTATTTAAGGGAAATAATCAATAATATAATTGCATTATTCAGGTGTTACATTAGTTTTTACAAGTTTTATTCTTATTTTCTTTCCAAACTGCTTCAACAGTCAATGTTTACACAGCTGAAAGGGAGGATTAGGCAGGCCCTCATCTGTGCTTGGAAAAGGACCCAAATTCTTTTTTAGAAACCAGTCCACAAAGGTCATTCTGGGAAAAACTACAATTTCCCTATCTTCCTAATCTTTAAATAATTACGTTCCTTGAGCATTTTTCCACTGGGTTAAAAGCACTGATAGTAAATATAAGTAATACAATTTCTTGGAAGGATTTATGTGGGTCTAGATCCCTGCTGCCAGAGGTGGAGGATTTCTACTGAAAGATAATTTGAAAAGATCAAATCAATGGTTATGGGAAGTGTTTAGCATGAAAAAGTATGAAAATTATTTTCCTGAAGATTTTATGAATAAGATCAGCCACATCAGACTTCTAAGAAATGTACTATTTCTCCTCCCTCACTTTCGGATTGGATTTTTCCATTTGTATGAAGAGGCTGGCTTAACATCAGTGTATAAACATCAATTTGTGTATTTTAATTATAGGGTATGGCAGTGGTAACACAGCAAAGTGAGCTTTGGGACATTTCATGCATGATTTTTTTTCATAGAGATTTCCTTTTGTTATGGGAGCTGCGGATCAAACCCAGGGTCTCATGCATGCTAGCTCAATGAGCCACATCCTGTCCTCCATTGTCTTTTTCTGAAGGAACTGTATGGAGGCCTTCTCTGTGTGACACAGAGGAAGTACAAGGAACAGATGGGAAAGGTGACTTCTCCTCTCCCTGAAGGAGAAGCTAGCCGTGGTTCCCCATGCTCCCCTCTGCCTTCCCCAGACGCCTTATTTAGTCATTGCATCTTAGCACGTGGAGTGGCATGCAGGTTCTCCTCTCAGACAAATGAGGAGAGAGAGTCAGCCACCAGGCCACATAGGGTGAGAGCAAGTCCCCGAGCTCAGAACAGAAAAGAGGGGCTCCGAGCTGCAGGTGCTGCCCACAGACGGACTTTCCAGGACTGCTTTTCCCGGCTGTCAGACTGGAGAGGATGTAGTATTAACATGTAGGACTGTCTGCTGCTCTGCTCTATCTCAGATAATCCAGACCTCAGAGACTGCTGTTAGTGTGAGAAAATGAATTTTCTGGTTAAAGTGGGCAGGTAAAATGGGCCTTCTCCTCCATTTTCCCACTGCACTTGCAATGTGTTCTGAAAGGTCTTTGAGCTCATCCTCTCCTGCTCCTTTGGGCACAGGCACGATTGTTATAATGACCAAAAGGTAACAACGCAAGGAGGCAGGAGTGATCCCCATGAAACACCCATCTAAGTCTTAACAAGAGGTCCATTTATGACGCTGAGTATGGAAATGTTCAGTAAGTTTCAGTAGAACTATGCAGGAACCTTTATTCTCTATTTTTAAAATTTCAACACAAACTGATGTTTTATATCACTTCATGCTTTCTCAAGAGAGGGAATTCTAGAGTGACATTTCAAGAAGAAACCAAAGAGAACTTAAAATTCATGTATGTTGGGAGCCGCAGCCCCGAGCCCGGTCGCCTCACTTGGCGGACGTGAGGCCTGTAGTAAAGAGTAAAGCCTGAGGTAGATTACCCCTCCCATCGAGCACGTTAGTTTCCTGCTTACCGCGTAAGCAACCCGCTCAACAATATAGTCTGCCTGGCAACTGATGATGTTAGCCAATCAGCTTGCCTTGCTTACTTTAACATGATTGGACACTGTATCCGTATATATACTGGTGCCACCCCTGGGGGGGAAGAAGAAGCCCGGAAGTAGAAGCCCAAAAGGAGCCGCGGGGAGCGGACCAAAGGAGGCTTCGGCTGGGAGCGATCCCAGGGCAGGCTGTACGGAGAAGGAAAATAAAAGAAAAGGTTGTCCACTGCCAGACTTTGTCGTGTGTCCTTCCTGCCGGCCGGGAGCGACATCGACATTTGGAGGCCCGCACGGGGACTGATCACCCCCGAGACGTGACAGCGGACAACGCTCCAGTACAGAGCTGCGAGACAGGTGAGTTGGGGATAAGCCTGGGCTCTGGGTGGCGCGCACCTACAGGGCTTTTAGACTCCCCTCAGGCTCACGCGTAAGTGGCGGATTCCTTGGGCCTCACGCGGTGAGTAACATATTAAAAGATGGGAAACATGCTAGGTAGCAACACTAAGAGCGAGGGTGGTTGTGGAGAAAGCTCTCAAGAGCTTACAAAAGTACGCAGGGTATTTGAGCAGGCCCAGTCGGGGAGCTCCCGAGAGGGGCCCGTCAAAGGGAACAAAGATGCTAAGGAGAAGGACGGGGCTCTAGCCTCGGAGTCGTCTGACTCCGAGGACGAGGGAAAGTTGAATGGCAAGGAGGCCAAAGAGACCAGCTGTCAGGAGCCTAAGTCGCTCGATAAGGAGTCGCAGGGTTCTTTCCCAGCGTTGCGTCGTGAATTGCGCTCCGCTCAACTTGGTCTGCGGAGGAGTAGAGAGCTCCTGAGCGCTCCCCGGCGCGAGAGGGAGGCGAAGCCTTCCGCCCCACCTTGGGGGCTGTTCCCGGAAGCGATCCCTTGCCACGAGGCGGCCGCCCGGGAGCTCCCTTCCCCTTCGCCAGAACAGGAAGTGATGCACGGGCCCCCATTTTCCGCCCAATCACGGCCGCCGTCTTATGCTCCGCCGCCGGCGGGTCAGTATTTTTACAGGCGGCTTTGGCAGGGGGGACGTTTGTCTCATGAGGTACATCCACCACCTGGGATAGATAGTGGCCCCTACGGGATATTTCCTGTACAAGTAGCTATGGGCCAGG